AGAGTGAAAAAAATGGCTTACAAGATGGTTGTGACACCTGCTGTGATGTCTAGTTTGGAGACGGTGCCACCGACAAAAAGACAGGAGACTGAGCTGGAGAGAGAAGGCTCAAATGGTTTGGGGATGTGCTGTGGAAAGATGGTGGATGCATTGGACAAAGGATGTTGAATGTGCAGCTGCCAGGCAGAAGGAAAAGAGGAAGTCCACCAAGAAGATTCATGGATGTCGTGAAGGAGGGCATGCAGGGTTGGTGTGTCACAGGAGGATGTTAGGGGCAGGGTAAAATGGAGGCAGATGATCTGATGTGGCGACCCCTAAAGGAAGGAGTCGAAAAATGTATATATTCTGAAATTATTAGCAAATTGTTATTAGCTCTTAATAAATATTCTCCATAGTATAATAATAAAGTTAGAACTTAAAACAATTCAAACAGAAGCAAGTAAATCCATAAACTGAAAACTGTAAATTTTCAAATTTACATTATTACAGAAAAATGTTAAATCTGTCTGTTTTTTTATTGAGATAAATGTAATTATTTGCATTCCTGAACAGGAAAAGATTTAATGGATAGATGTTGCACTTGAATAATTTCTTAAAGAAGTCCAGTGTGGGAAAACTAATTCTGTTTAATGTGTGTCTAATAGATAACAAAATATTTTTTAGTTTTAAACAGATTTTATGACAAGTAATCTAATAGATTTGTTAATTACTGTAACGGTTAGGGTGACAAAGCTTTGTCTTACTGTAGAGGCTAAGCCTACGCTTGAAGCCACTGAGGTATTTGTTGACAGGGATGACGTGCGATTTCACTGGTATGCATGAATATATTAAACTTGATACAGTCCAATAACTCCAGCCTTACTCATCTTGTCCTTTAGATTCTTTATTTCCACGATTTAACATAGCAGCACAGCGGTCACAAACTGTTTGCCTTCTTCCGATCAACAACACACCTGCTGCTAATTACGTGTGTCTACCTTAAATACATTCACCATACCAAAAAACTCAAAAAGTGACCTCTAGCGGCATACATAAGGTATCAACCCCAAAATTTCATAAATTATGGCAGTGTTTTGGAATCACTTAAAAGATCTCTCTAAACTTGATTATAAACAGTGGGACAATTTTGGCAAAAAGGTCAAGATTTGGTCACGATGACCTGTCTGATCGAGCATCAGTATGCGGAAAAATACGGTGGCCCCTAGAGACAAAGCACGTACAAACTCCAAAACACTTGCGAACTCCAAAACACTTGCAAATTCCAAACACTTTGGATTTTGCAAGTGTTTTGGAGTTTGTACGTGTTTTGGAGTTTGCAAGTGTTTTGGAGTTTGCAAGTGTTTTTTGTTTGCAAGTGTTTTGGAGTTTGCAAGTGTTTTTTGTTTGCAAGTGTTTTGGAGTTTGCAAGTGTTTTTTAGTTTG